AGCTAGCTTTATTAACACCATAGTTGAAAGGACAGTACAGATTTCTTTGCATATATGTATTGCTCTTACATGAATTGTATATCCTATCTCATATTTTCCGTCAGTCCATCAGCTCTGTGAGTTTTCTAAATCTAGTGTATAACTATTTTTTCTAATGATTTTTTTAATCAGTAGTAATTATCTTTTGATTTACATTAAGGGTATTTTAAAAGGAGTTTTTGAAAGAGTTGCATTATAATACCAACTCTTGTGCCAAAGCTATTGAGCTGTTCTGAAAAGCTACTTGTCTTTTCTGACCTAGATACACAGTTTTCAGCTGTGACAGAGGATGCCAGAAAAAAGAGAATGAGTGTTGGCAAGAGTCTGAAAATTATATTATTGAAGAAGCTTAATATATTTCTCAATTTTTAGCACAACAGTATAGTAGTAAAAGAAAAGTTTTCTGAATTCACTTAATCATTGACTTATTTAGTTATTTAAACTTATTATAGTTTATTTTGTCATGGTAAAGAGATTTCTTTTTGTTTCAAAATGGGTGGTTTTAAACAGTACTATTTATTTCAAAGCAGATTATGAGTTCTGAGGTCATTTTTAAACCTTACTAATTAAGAGGAATAATTGTATCTGGTCAGCTTCCAGATGTCATTTCTTTACTATGGTCTGTTCTGTTGAATAGCATCAAAAGTTCTTTTGAGAATCAAATATACTGTTAGAAGCTTATTTATAAAGGTGCTGGCATGCCTTTTAGTGCTGTTTGTAATGGGCACAAGAGGACAGAGAACATTTTAATACTTAAGCTATGTGAGGTTATTTTTTAGAGCATATCATCCCTTTTTGTTAAGAATTATCATGAGATCTGTAAATTCTAAAGATAGTTTGATGACCTATATCATAGTCTTTTAGTGGGAAGAAAATAGCTACTGAGGCATGTACAATTCTGGGGCTGCTTCATATTTGATCATGGTTTAACAGGAATAGATTTCAAATTGAGCTTTTAAAAAGATCATCATTCAAAATTAAGTATACCCTGGCTCATTGCTTTTTTCATGGTGACAGTTATGTGTATTGAAAAAAATGTGGAGACACTGGCTCTTGGGACAGTGCTGCTGTCTTCACTATGCCATCATAGACACATCATTTTATATCTTTGTATGAGGCAGTCATCAGAACAGAACAAGGGAACACTGCATGGTTCAAAACTGGGAAGGGTATATACCAAGAATGTGTCCTGTCACCGTATCTTTTCAACCCATATGCGGAACAGATTATCAGGGAAGCTGGGCTCTAGGAGGAGAAATATGGCATCAGCATTGGAGGAAGACTCACCAACAGTCTGCGTTATGCAGATGACAGCCAGCCTCCTGAAACTGAGGGGGACCTGAAGCTCTTGCTGCAGAAGGTCAAGGATTGCAAACTTAAATCGGGATTGAAGCTCAACATCAAGAAAACAAAGATTGTCACCACTGGGCTGATTGGCAGCATCATGATAGATGGTGAAGAGATTGAGATTAATAGCTTTAGTTTACTTGGCTCCATAATCAACACTCTCGGTACCAGCAGCCAGAAAATCAAGAGACAAATTGCATTGGGAAAATCTGCTGCTGTCAGAGACCTCTCCAAATTACTGAAGAGCAACGATGTCGGTCTGAAGACTAAGGTGCACCTGATACAGGCCATGATCTTTGCAATTACTTGGTGTGCATCAGAAAGCTGGACTAGAGATGTTAGAAAATTGCTGCCTTTGAGCTGTGGTGCTGGAGTAGTATTGAATATACCATGGACTGCTAGGAAAACAAGTTTGTTCTCGAGAGGGTGAAGCCAGGCTACTCCTTGGAGGCAAGGATTCTGAAACTTTGTCTGACATACTTTGGCCATGTTGCAAGGAGGGACCAGTCGTTGGAGAGGGATGTCATGCTTGGGTGGGTGGAGGGACAGCACAGAAGAGGAAGACCCTCGATGAAATGGATTGATTCCATCACTGGCGTAAAGGGGTAGGTGTGTCAGAGACATTAAGATTGGCACAAGATAGAGCAGGGTTTAGGACTATTGTACATAGGGTCGCTTCACTATGAGTTGCAGGCAACTCGATGGCACATACTATGAGTTGCAGGCAACTCGACGGCACATAGCAACAACACATATTTGTGCTTGCTAGAAATGAGGAAGACTTAAACCACTTGCTGCAAAAAAAAAAAAAAATCCAGAACTACAGACAGCTTTCAGCATGGATGTCAGCATTAAAAAACCAAAAATTGTCACCACTGTGTTTTACTGCACAAAAATTGTCACTGCTGTGTTTTACTGTCTCTTGTGAATCTGCCTGGGGGATCAGCTATGAATAGATTGACTTGCCTTTAACTTGATGGCAAACAACAAAAACATAGTCTTTTGTTCTGTTTTTAATTCTTAACTGTGTATTAGAAATTCATACTTTCTCTGTGACTGCCAGTAGGTTTTCTTGAAGGAGGTCGCCCATGGTGGATAAAGTTGATGGTATTGAACCACTTACCTTTTTGTTTACAACTCAATAAAGAAAACTGAGTCTCAGAAATTGAGTTATTTTTTCTTGGTTCTTAAGTCAACAGAGCTATTAAATTGTTGTTTTAATTTTTTTTAATTCAAGGCCAAAATTTTATCCACTATATACACTTCGCCTATAGCCCTGGTGGCCTAGTGGTAAGAAGCTATGCCGCAATCTCGAAGACATGCAGTTCAAATCCACCAATTGCTTTACTGGAGAAAGATGAGCAGTTTCCTCCTGTGTGGTCAGATGGCTCTGAAAACCCACCAGAGGGTCAACTATGGGTTGGTTCCAACTTGACTGTAGATGTACTTAGGTAAAAACTAATTAACCATACCCACCCTCATTAAGGCTGTTCCAATTTCCAGCATCTCTCAGTCAGGTTTCCAGGGCTTATATGACCCTGTCTTCCCCTGCCCCTGCTCCATGATTGGCCTGTACATGTAACAAAATGAGACTGCGTCATTTTTCTCCTGTGGAGTGACTGGTGGATTTGAACCACTGACTTTTTGGGGTGGTTTTAGTTGTTGTTTTTATGTGCTGTTGAGTTGAAACCAACACATAGTTGACTCTCCTGAGATCTTTCAGAGGAAAATCACATGGAAGGAGAATGACCATCTTTTTTCCATGGAGCAGCTGGTGGATTCAAACTGCATACCGTCAGTAGCAGAACTCTTTACCACTTTGACACTAGAACTTTCAGCTCTTTGGTTAGCAGCCTAGTATCCTACATACCATGCTACCATGGCACCTATGAGACTGATCAAGATGTACAAAAGATACTAGGAATTACAGTACTTGGATGTTACTTCTTACTGTATTGTTACATAACCAAAGTGAGCGTTATTATTAGAGTCGGTTCAGTTAAGTAACTGTATTTCAGTGAAGCTTTAGTGGATTTTTTAAACTAAAGTTAGAGAAGTTGATTATGAACTGGTTTTAATTTTTCCTGTATTTCATACGTGAGCATCATTTAATCATGCGTGAATTTTGATCTGTGTTTTTATTTATTTTGTTATGTTTTTATTTGATAGGTGAAGAGAGTTGCGTGTTCTCCTAGTAACTTTCTTTGTCCCAAAAATGAAACATAAATTTCTTTACGAGAGTAATTGATTTAGGAAAGAGTTAATGATAGTAGTGAAAGAAGTTTCCATCAATTTAGCTATTTGTGAGTTTATTTGATACATGTTGTAAATTACATGTAGTTAAAGTATATGTTGTACCTTTATGGTTTTGTATTTTTTTTTATTCTTTATTTTAAATACCTGAATTCATAATATATAAAGATTTCTTCACTGCTCAGATGAGATTATTTCTATCTTCTCCGTTTGTTCTATAATGTTGAATCAGAACCAACTCATAGCTGATCCTCTATCAGGTTTTAAGAGGCAGCCCATGTTTCTTCCACATTGCAGCTGGTAGATTAGAACCATATGCTTTTGGGTAGAGCAGTGAAACTCCTTTCCAAATCTCATAAATGGGGGAAAAGTGAGTAACAGAATAGTTCATTGGCTTGTGGGCAGAAATATACTGTGGGATTTTTGCTTGGGAAAATCCAAAGATAAGGAAGTCAGGGTAAGTGAAATTGAGGAGTCTTAACTTAATGAAATGTGATGGCGTAATGCATTCATTATATGCTGCACTACTTGTCAAAAAGTCAGTGGTTCAAATCTCCTGCTTGCTCCAAGGGAGCAAGATAAGTAGTTCCCTCATAAAGATTTACTGCCCAATACCCTTGTTGTTGCTTTTGTCTCCTGTTGAGTTGGAACCCATTTATAGCTGACCTTGCAGCTATAAATCAGAGGCAGTAGGGAGGAAATCGTCCATCTTTCTCCTGAAGATCAGCTGTGGTGGATTTGAATGTGTACCATACATCTTTATGTTGACAGAATCTTTTGTGATTAAATTAAACTAGTAAGCCCCTCCGGGAGTTCATGAAAAGAAAGTGAAGAAAATTCTGACTTTGGACTTGAAAATAACTTAAGAACATTTTGCCAGTATACCTTGTCTAATAGTATCAAATGAAAAGGTGGTCTGAGTATGACATTGTAGTTAAACCAGTGGTACTTTTATATTTTCAAATCTCTTATCTACTGCATATTCTGATAAGTTAGACTAAATGCCAGTTTCTGATTGAAGGCCTGTAGGTTAATTGTGTCACTATTTCCACAGATACTTGTATTGCCTTTTTCTTAAGTTGTTGGTAACTTCATGGAATCGGTCATTTACTATATTTATCCTATTGAATGCAATTCAGTAAGCATTATAGCTAATAAGGAGATTATTTTCTGGCAATATCATCTTGGTTTAATGTCAGTCTGTTTTTGGACCCAGAGTCTCAAAGCAAGTATTACCTTTGTTTAAAATGATACATTTTTCTTTATGATCCTTGTTTCTTTTTGATAACAATATATTATACACTTAGATTTGAAAGTAATTATAATTCGCATTTTTGAAAGTTGTTCCTTTTTCTCTTACAGGTATATTCCAGAGAACAAGTCTCTAAACATCTTTGCCATATTGATTCTGAGTTGTCTGGGGACTCAGGCTTATGAGGAGGTTCTGTCACAAAAAGCAGTGTCTAGTGAAGACGACAAGAAAGAGAGGAAAGGATCGGAAAAAGAAGCTGAAGTACTATAGAAAATCATGGTAAGTTACTTGTATTTCTTTAATTTAATCACAAAAGATTCCAATAATACAGAATTGGAAGAGTTGACAATGAGGACAAGTGCATAACAATTGTGAATCTTTTTGGCTGTAGCTCATCAAAAGATGACACTCTGTTATTTACATGGAGTTAACTTGAGTTCAGATTATGAGCCCTTTAAACCACAAGATGGAGCCCTGTGAGCCTTTAGGCCATGAAGTATTAAAAACAGAAGAGGAAATAATCATGAATATTTTATAAAAAAATGGACACGGGCAAACCAGTACAAATTACTAGGTGATCTTGAATTCAAAATTATGTTGTTTTTTTCTACAATTTACTTTTTTTGTCTTAAATTTTTGTATTAATACTGTAACTTGTCATATAAATGTTACAAGTAAAATGTGGAGATGTTTTAAAAAATTCCTTTCCCTACAAGGTTTGAAAATAAGATTAAGTGTTAAATGTTTTAGGGGCACTGAAATTAACATCAAGAAAACCTTGGGTTTTGTGGAGAGTTTTACTCTTAAAATGGTATTCGTGATATTAGTGGAAGTTTTGAAAATCTTTGTTGCTTAGTTTTTCAGTTGGTAAAATATGCTGATTTTTGACTTGGTAAATGAGGGGGAAAAAGCACAAATATATTAATCATCAGTGTGCTTAGAGTATGTTGTTCAGAAAGTCTTGTGGTGTTTGTTTAAATACTAGATTTTTAAAAGTCGGTGCTAAGAATTATTAACTACTTGGCTTGCTCTTTACAGAAGACTTTTTACTAATAATTTAGAAGATGGATGGTTGGAAAGACATATTAGCTTGAGAGTTTTTCCGTTGTTTAGTTTTGTGTTGAGATGTGGGGGAAATAAACCGTATCAAACCCAATTATTTACCTTTTGGGTCTTATGAAATGAGGAGGCTCTTGGTGGTCTAGTGGACAAAGTGTTACACCTGCCAATCCAAAGTGGGGTTATTCGAATCCACCAGCTGCTCTGAGAGGAGGAAAATGGGCAGTCTCTTCCCATGGGATTGAAAGCCTCTGATCTACTGTTGGGTCAGTTGTTGCTTTATTTCATCTCAAAGAGTTGAGTTATTATTACATAAACTATAGCCTCTTTAGCTAATATAGTCTTGATATTCTTAAAACTTAAGTATCGTATATGTATTATTTGTCATCAAAACAAATAATAAAAACATGTAGTCAAGTTGATTTAGGAATAAAATGATGCTGTAGGATAGAGAGGAATTGCCTCATGTTGTTGCTGTTGTTATGTGCCATCAAGTCACTTGCGACCCTATGTACAACAGCCCTGAACACTGCTCTGTCCTGTGCCAACCTCACTGTCTCCGACGGAGTTATTCGCACTGCCCCAATCACAGAATGGATCCATCTCATTGAGGGTCTTCCTTTCCTGCACTGTCCCTCCATTCTCCCAAATATGATGTCCCTCTCCAAGGACCAGTCCCTCCTTGCAGCATGCCCAAAGTATGTCAGACAAAGCTTCAGAATCCTTGCCTCGAAGGACCAGCCTGGTTTAACCCTCTCCAGGACAAACCTGTTTGTTCTCCTAGCAGTCCATAGTATATTCAACACTCTTCTCCAGCACCACAGGTCAAAGGCATCAATTCTCTTTCTATCATCCCTAGTCACTGTCCAACTCTCCGATGCATAGCACGGATCAAGTGCACTTTAGTCTCGAGCCTGACGTCGTTGCTCTTCAGTACTCTTGAGAGGTCCCTCACAGCTGACTTTCCCAGTGCAATTCATCTCTTGATTTCCTGGCTGCTGCTACCAAGAGTGTGGACTGTGGAGCCAAGTAAACTAAAATTGTTAACTATCTCAGTCTCTTCACCATCCATTCTGATGCTGCCAATTGGCCCAGTAGTGAGAATCTTTGTCTTCTTGATGTTGAGTTTCAGTCTGTATTGAAGGCTGCAGTTCTTGACCTTCTGCAGCAAGTGCTTGAGGTCCTCCTCAGTTTCAGCAGGCAGGGTTTGTGTCATCCACATAACGCAGATTGTTGATGACTCTTCCAGTAGTCCTGATGCCACATTCCTCCTCGTACAGCCCAGTGTCTCAGATGATCTGTTCTGCATACAGATTGAGAAGGTATGGAGACAAAATACATCCCCGAAGGACCCCCTTCTTGATTTTGAACCATGTAGTGTCTCTTTGCTCTTTTCTGATGACTACCTCTCGGTCCAAGTATAGGTTTAGCATAAGCACAATCAGAATATTTCTGATCCTTCTTCTCTGTTGCCAGCTCCCAACTTTTGCATTCCACTCACCCGTTATTATTAATTCATCTTGATTGCATGTTCGATTGATCTCCGACTGTAAAAGTTGGTAGAAATCTTCTATTTCCTCTTCTTTGGCTCTGGTTGTTGGTG